TATATTCAATTGGATTGGGTTGAGTTGTATTGAAAATTTATACTTGAGGTTGGGCTGGGCTGGGCTGGGTTAGGTTGGGTTTCAAATTATGATTTAAAATCCAACCCAACCCAATGGATTAAGAAAATTAATATTTAAGATGAAAAAAACTAAGTAAACACAATAGTAAAGATCATAGTTATTGGACTTGACCCGATTGTCGACTCGAAAAAATCATCAGGTCTCTGGGTTAATGGTTCAATCGGAGCGCAGTGGTTCAATCGATGGATCATTGTTATATTGTAATTTTAATTAAAGTATATTTTTTGAACAAAATAATGACCATTTTCCAAATCTAAATATACGTGTATCTCCCTTACATTCTTTACAAAGGAACATGCATATGCCATAATGGTTAGGAGAGTGATATTGCTTTCTTGAAGCTAGGGTTCGAATCCTTGCCATGCCAAATTGAAAAAATAAAAAAATTTGCACTACACTTTGTCAACAACGATTCACTTTTGAATTGGTCCTGGTTACCCCTTAAACCTGTCTAAACCAGATGGTTATTGAACGGTCTAATCGGTTCTTGACCGGTTCACTTATTAGCTTGAGCAATTAGTGTAATTGGACCAGACTACTATCCGGTTCACTAGTTTTCAGGTCAAATCGGTCGGTCCGATCCTATTTTAATAACTATGGTAAAGATATGAGAATGATTTATAATTTATGAATGTCCATTTTTTTATATAGATATATTCACATGAATACTATGTACAAGTGAAATGTTATTTGACAATAAAGTAAAAATTAAAAATATGATGATGAAATGAATAAATCCCAAAAAATTGTTTAAAAAAAAATCATAAATGTTAAGCTTGTTTATACATTATTTCTAAAAAAGAATTCTTTATACAGGTATTTAAAAGAGAGAGAGAGAGAGAGAGAGAGATTTTCAAGTAATTTCAAATTTTAAAAATTTATCAAAACTCAAAAAAAAAAAAAATCGAATCCAACTTTAATTGCGTCAAAGCCCAAACCGACCAACCCAACCTAGGTTGATCGGCTTGGGGTTCAAACCATTAATTGGGTTTGGGTTGGGTTGATTTTAGATCAAATCGTCCATGTTGGGTTGGGAAAAAGCCGACCAAATCCAACTCATGCCTACCTCTAGTCATTCATTCAAATAAGGATTGTAAATATTAGTGACAATTTGTTGTTTTTCTAGTTGAAATAAAATATTTTTGCTATTTTCAAACTGTTGTTATTTTTCAGTGTAATAATTTTGCAAAACAATGAAAATGTGTTTTCATTGCTATTTTTAAAAATATATTTTCGAAAACAAAGTAAACTTATGACTCAAAATATATTTTTGACGTTATTAGTGTTTCTAGTGAAAATTTTGAAAATATTTAAAACATGGAAAACAAGCGTTTAAATAAAATTTAAAAAATTAAGAAATTTAAAAAATATAAGTAGAAATTTTTTTTAAAAAAATGGAAAGAATGAAATATAAAATTGTATAAAAATAAATCTGAAAAGATAAAAATTATAAAACTTTTTGGATAATAAAAATTATAAAAAATAAAAAATATCAAATTCTTAATTTTTATTAACATAGATAAAAATATTTTCAATCCACTTCATTAATTTTTCATTTTATTTTCTATATTTTTATTTCCAACTAAGCCCTTGCTTGATTTTCATTCTTCTAAAAATTCATTTTTTTCAAAACTTATTTTCAATCACACATTTTTCAATAAAATAATATTACACACATATCCAAAACTTTTTTTAAATTTTTAACCATACATTCTCCATTAATCTACTATTCAAAATGCATTATTTCCCCCAAAATGGGGATCAAACAAGATCTTATTATTTGCTTTTATTTTACTTTTGTAGTGAAAAAACATTTTAACACAAAATTGTTCTATTTTTATTGAATAATCAAATTTCATAGAAAAATGTCAACAATTTTTCAAAATTTCAAATTAAACATGTTTTATAATTTTTTATTATAATAAACAATTTTTCAAATGACAAACTAAATGCATTTTTATCAAATTTAAAACACCCTCAAAACACAAATCACACAGGCATTGTTGAGATGTTCTTCCATTTTCAACCTAAATTAATATTAATACATGAATATTTGTTGATCAAATCAAATATATAATTAGCATTCTTGCGAAGAATCAATGAATATTTCACAATATTTTTGTGAACCAACGTGTTTTTAGGTCGTTCTTATTTTCGTTTCATTATTTATTGCTTTCGCCTAGATCATCAACTAACATAGGTTGAAACGATAAGAACAATTGATGAACTAAAAGAATGAACTAAAAACACATGGATTCAAAAAGAATACATTGAATTTAAAAATCAAATATCCGTTGACTCTTTACCAAATATATATATTGGAAGAAATGCAATATTTGGAGAAAATTTTTCATTGAAATTTATTTCATCAAAAATTGAATGCCATTAAGACTTACAACTCTTATTTAAAGCAATATAATGATACTGATTAAACTTTAGATAAAAACGAAATTAAAATACCCTAATCGGATTTGAATTCCGAACTGATTTACTAAAAAAAAAATACTAAGTAAAAGATAATTAGAACTCCTAATTGTAAGTGAAATATAAAACATAAATAAAAGTTACAAAAATTAAATTGAAATTCAATCATCATCAGTTATGGTCAAACATTAACTACTATCATTTATGAACCACACATTTCCTAGGACTAATACTATTCATTCTAAAAAAATTATTAACAATTTTACTAGAGCGTCTTAATACAAATTTTTTAAAACGTGTTAATTATTCTAATGATAATTAAAGAAAAGAAAGAAAGAATAAAAAATACGTTTTCTACTACAAAAAGACAGTTTTGATTCCTCCTTTTATCAAATCTCGGGCTGAGCAAATCTCTCGAACCGAACCGAACCGAACCCAACCCAAATCGAATTGAACCGAACCCGATAGTTCTTATCAAATTAAATATCCGAACGAGTATCTGAATTGAGAACCGACAGGTACGGTTCGGTTCTCGATTCTAGATCAAGAACCGAATAAGAACCGAATCTTTCTAATTTTTTTTTAATTTTGAGTAAATCAAATTATTTTAATTTTAATTTTTTCTAAACAAATTAACAAATTAACCATTTCTAAATCCAAATTTTTGGCCTAATAATTTGTTTCATTTCTAATTTTTTAATTTTTGGCTCAATTACCCATTTTATTGTTTCATTTCTTAGCCCAACAAGATCCAATCCATTAAATAACCATAAACACATACACTAAAGTATATAACGTTGTCTAGACTCTCACTCTCGCAGCCTCGCTAACATTTCAAAATCTATATAATCGTCGGGCGACACTGTGATCTCCGATTGAAGCTGTGACCTCCGCCGATCGAAACTTTGACCATAGCGATCATTTGAACAAAGTAGTCTACTAATCTCTGACATTCCAAAACCATTGAATGTATCATTAGTTGTATTTATATAATGTTGTTATAAATATTAAAAAATTTAATTATAGTACAGAACCGAACGGAACCGAACCCGAACGGTTCCATAATTATATTTGGACCCGACGGTTCCATTTACTAAATATCCGAAAATTTTGGTTCGATTCGATTCTCTTCAGAATCGAATCGAGCCGACCCGCGCCCACCCCTAATCAAATCGATACTCTAAAACAATTATGGAGTCGTTTAAGGACTAATACCAGCTTACAAACATACGTAAGAAAAACAAATTACAAGAATGTAATGAACTTCGTATCATGCCGTCACTCTTGGAATATGGAACTCGGAGAAATCAAAATGAAAAGAAAGATGGCAATTGATACAAGTTATCACCACATACACAAAGATATATTTGAAAGAAGTGATATAGAAGTAGATTTTATACAAAGCCAAAAAAAAAAAAAAAAAAAAAAAAAAAAAAAAAATTTGATCCCCAACCTTAAAGGGTCCTCCACTGTTCCGCCCCTGGAGTATCGTGGCAGAGATTAATCGCGAGATGTGTCCCAACAAATCAGGGAACAAGAACTGTCTGTACACTGATGCCCACAAAGAGTTTCAATCCATGTTTTAGAAATCGAACCCTCGCACTACGACTGCCAACAAAATTGAGTACACATCACTCTTGTCCTTTGCGTTACTAAGATATGCCCCGAGGAGGGCGAAGTAACCATGTACTCGTAGGTGATAGGTGGTCGACTTTATGATTTTAATAATATCGCAAAAATTAGTAGTACAGAATATTCTTATTCAAGTAGGACTACAAATCACAATCCGATATGGAACTTTACCTCGAATAAAAAATTCTCAACTTTTGCTGTACTCTTTACGTGTCAAATGCATAGTTCATTAAACTAACACTACCACGATATTAATCCCTCCAAGTAAATTGGTGAATTCAATCAAATGATGGTGAAAAGCACTTGGAATTGTTACCTAACCCTCTCTAGTCTCTATTATATTAATTTTTACACCGATGAATATAATAGTCTATTTAGAGAATACTGTTTTTTTATGGCAGCCATTTTTGTCCAAAATTATTCAATTCCTTTACTCGACCGCCATTTCATTTTATTCTTCCCAAACTGGAATATTTTAATCTTCCATTGCATGTCGTGTAACTTGTTTTTATATTCTTTTTGGAACAAAAAGCTGAATTGAATTGAATAGTCTGTCCGTGCAACAATTCAAGCCACCATATTAGATTCCAGGAAATTATGCAGTGGAATAAGTTTTACCTACAAATTTGACTGACATGACTGCAGTATTTGTTCTCCCATGTTAATTCGTTTTTTCTTGTTTTTGTTCTTTGTACTAATCCTTTGTTGAACAGAACTTCACGTGCTTTTAGAAATTCATGTAAATCCCATTTGGTCCAACAAAAGCAATAGAAAATTCATCATTTTGCAATAAATTATTCTTCCCCAGCCATCCAGTTTTGTGTATAAATATACCCTTTTGCTGGTTATAATCCTAACCCGCCGCAGCTCTCTATTCTATTCACATTCTGCATCAACAGCAAGTAAAAATGCTGCAATCAGGTATATTGAGCTATATAGTTCTGATTGTAACTCAGCTGAAATGGGCGTGGGATTATCTTCTTTACCAGTCCTTCTTTCAGCCTCGTGGGATTGTATTGACCGAATATGCCGATGATCTTAGCGTAAAGCGCTATCAAAGCAATAACGAAAATGAGAGTACAGTAGAATGTGCTGTGTGTTTATGTCGGATTGATGAAGGAGATGAAATCAGGGAGCTGAGTTGCAATCATCTTTTCCACAGAGTTTGCTTGGATAGGTGGCTGGGATGTGGGCAAATGACGTGCCCTCTATGCCGGAGTAACGTAAAGCCGCCTGGACTGGCCGTGGATGGCCACCAGGAGGTGATATTGATCAACTTTGATGCTGCCAGATCAAGGGATCGCTGGTGGCTGCGTTGAACGGGAATATCTTCTACGCCTTTCATTCATTCTTTCTTTCTTTCCATTTCTTACACATATATGGAAACATAAAATATGCAACTACGACGAGAATTCTATAATTGGAATTCAAGGCTGAGCACTTGCATTGTCTCAAAATAATGGTGTTTTGCATAGTATATAAGATGTCAATTAATGTAGATGCTACCGGTGTGTTATATAATCGATAAAGAGCCTTGCTCTATATTTGGTATTTTACAAAAGCGCTTAAAAAGCGCTTTTGTAATTATAGTATTTACCATTTTAGATGCTTGATACCAGTTATTGTATTTATTTAATAATTTTAAAATAATAAAATAATATTGAAAGTAAGAAAATGTTTTTTTGCTTCAAACTTGTAAAACTTGAAACTTGACATTACCGTTTAGTCATGCTTTATATTTTTTAGAGCGTAGCCTGTATAACACAACCACTAAACACTAAGCTTTAAATAGTGCAACGTTCAACATTTTATGGCGAAGCCCTTAACAATTATATAATGTCACAAAAATTTCATACGTTTGTTGTGATTATTTGTGATCAAATTTGTATTTGTTGTGACTATTTGTGACCAATTTTGTGTTGATTGTGATCGGTTGTAACATGAGATTGACTTTGTCACAGACAGTCACACTGAATGTAATTTTGTTCACAGTTAGTCACATCGAAGACAGAGTTGATCATGGTTAATCACAAATAATGTAGGTCAGTGAATTAGTTACATACAATTACAAATTAGACGGTCACATAGAGTCACGCTGAAAATAAATTCGATCACAAATAGTTACATATAATTCATCTCGTCTGATTAAGTCACAAATTTAATAGAACTGGTCACATATCACAAATTTAATGAAACTGGTCACAAGTCATTGCCTAAAAAAAAAAGGTACAACGTCAGTTGCCAGAATGGTCATTAGGAGGTTGCCGGAGACCATTGGAATTGTTGCTGGAGGTCGCCGGAGTTGTCGTCGGAGAAGTCTCCGGAGATGGGGTGGGGTCGCCGGAGGTGGGGATGGGGCGGAGAGATAAAGAGAATGGTTTGAATTTAAATTTTAAAATTTGGTGGGGGTGGTGGTGGTGTAGGTAGAATAATTGTCTTATATTATTTTTAAATATTTAATAATTTCATTTATCACCTGATTTTTGTAAAATTTTAGGAAGTTTATTAGTTTAAAAATATGATTTTTATATGTAAGATTTATGTGGTCTTCCCTATACTAGCATGTAACATGTGTGATACAAATAATCTGCAATGGTGACGTGCAAATAATTGTTGATGATTTCACATGTAAAATTTACCAAACACCTAAAATAACTTTTCATTGTTTATTAGAAGTTAAACTTTAAAATCAATTCTAAACGAGGCCTAGCAAATGCTGAAACAACTAACAACGAATTTAGCTCAATCCTTCCTCGAGTACTAATCCATTGATATTGTCTTTACTCATGCATGGCTTATTTATAAAAGCTAATCCCGAGGTAATGTGTCAAACCTCAAGAGTATGAATTGTGCTAAGGTGTTTTATCATAATGGCTTATTTATAAAAGCTAATCCCGAGGTAATGTGTCAAACCTCAAGAGTATGAATTGTGCTAAGGTGTTTTATCATAATGTGTGCTCTAAACGACGAACTACACATTATATCACATGTACGTGAATGAAAAATGCTTGGATTCATTATCTAACCCTCTCTACTTCATCTACTTCACATGTACGTGCTGCATTTTGAGTCCAAAATTAAGGCCTCGCTTGGTATACATTAATGTAAAAATGATAATGAAAAATATAGTCGTTACGGGCCCCACACAAGAGATAGAAAGTCAAATATGATAACTTGATGTTATGAATAACGATCATATTTTTCATTTTAATAGACAAATAATGGAAAACAAACCGGGCTAACTATTCAACCACCAATTCCATCATCATAATTCGTAGAACAATGGATTTATCCAAAAATGGCATATTTAATGTAACGTTAGATTTCGCTCACTTATTTTATATTCTTTTGGGAATTGAATAGTCCAATAACTGCACATAGAAACTCCTCTCAGCGTCCACGAAAGTGACCACTGGAATAATATTTGAGCTAGCAACAAATTTTGACTGACACCACTAAGCCCAAAGATTTGTTGGACTTCAGTTTTTCAAAAATTCGTTTTCTAAAACGGTAAAACCTGATGTTAATCATAATTT